CCTCAATGAAAACACTAATCTAGCTGAATCCTCTTACACAGACTTAGAAAAATTAGTAAACATTGTAGAAGGATCAACTTTAATAGATTGGAATGCTTCGAAGAATTCATATATGAAGGAGTTAGATAAGACCAAGAGCTGGTGGGACCAGCATATAAAGGCTTTTATTGAGAAGTCTAATTAAGGAATTCAATAGATCCAATCATTAATCAAGTAAGTATTATAAATATTATCTCTAGGGAAGATGAAGAAGAAATTTATTTAATGAAAGAAGATTTATATGAGATGCTAACCTACATCTAGGATATAGATGAATCTATCTATTAGAAGATTATCGATATACTTAGACAAGAGAAAGTTTCAGACATTATTGGATTCCTGTCAAAGACAAACAATCATCAGTTTTATGAATCTTTAAACTATAAGTAAGAGAATATAAAGGAGATCAAGAAATAAGTAAAGTAAATAACTAATGTCTTGAAAAATCTTTAGGATGATAAATTTAGTAAGGATGACTATTCTCAAGAGAAATATGAAAAGGAAAGAGCGGTCCTGATCAAGAGGATGAATAATAACAAAGGGATCACAGAGTTTATCAAATTTTTAGTACGACTAACAAGCATAGATGTAAAATTCATTCAATCGGGATCAAATGGACTTTGTTTATTAGTGGCCATGAAGGTTGATATTAGGAACCAATCATTTGAGAATATACGGATCAAGAATACATCTATAATAGGTGGTAACTTTGTTAGATGTATTATGAATGGATCAGAATTTGAGAATGTGGATATCAGCGGAGTCAATTTTAATGGAGCTTAGATGTTCAATTGTAAATGGAAGAACATAAAAGTCCATGAATTGAATAGGTTGGATGGCCATAGTAGTAGTGTTAGATCAGTCTGTTTCTCTCCTGATGGAAATACATTAGCATCTGGTGGTGGTGAATAATTTGGAGGTGGTGATAAGTCTATCCGTCTATGAGATGTCAAAACAGGATAATAAAAAGCCAAATTAGATGGTCATA